TACTTCATACATTAGTTTTGCTATGCTCAACAATAGGGTAAAAATGTCTGTTGTACATACTCTTATTTTCCACAAAAATGAAAGATGTCCTCTTTTCAAAATGTCATTTTACAATATTTGTTCCATTTTAGTTTAAAAGGATGGGTAATATGCATTGTTTTATCTTCCAGAGTGTCTAGCACTTTGTTTCTCACAATGTGGTTTGCAGACCAGCAGCATCAGAGTCACCTGGGAGCTTGTGAGAAGTGTAGAATCTCTGGCCCCATTTCAGACCTGTTGAACCAGAATCTGTGAGATGAATTTAATTTAAGGAATATGGACCAAAAATTTTTGCATTTAATGCTATCTTCATATTTAATAACAATAAAATGAGGTTACATTAAGGTAGAAAAAACTTAAACAATAAATTGTTACTGATTTGCTTCAGCTAAGAAGGGCTCCCTCAGATATGGAGTTCCCAGAAATCCATCAGATTCCTGATTTATCCTTGATGATGTGTAGCCAGTATAAAAAACTGGGATACCTCCGTATGAGAAAACTCTTGGCAACATTCCAAAAACTCACACTGCCACTTTCAAAATTAAAAAACACACCAGTTCTGCCCAGAGGTTTCTCTATACAGTGAAGAAACATTGAGGGGGAGGAAGAGGTGTGGTAAAGAGGCTGTAATGATTATCCTCTTACATGTGAAAGAAGAAATATATATTCATATTCAATTGCTGTGCCATTATCCTTATTCAGGAATCCTTGCAGACTCCTACAGTCCAGTCTGAAGAGCTGTCCATATTCAGCTCCCAGTAATCTTTCTCAGACATGAAATCCTGGGCTCCCCATGCAACAAAATAGACCTTTCAGAATTCAAAGACCATCTTGATGGTCATGTCTGAACCTCAGATCTCTCACATCATTAAACAGTCTGACATTGTGATTGGTTATTTCACAACTGTTAAAGAATAACCCAGTTTACATTGTTTAAACAACATACATCTGAATCTTCACATTTAGGGTGACTTCACAGATTTCCTCATGATGATTCTCTCAAAATATAGTCTTACTCTTAAGAGCAGCAACTGCTGGAACCCCTTAGTGATAGTCTTGCTAAAAACAAACAAGGTCAAATTAAGCTATTCTTTACCAGGCACATCAATGAGGTTGGTTTGGATAACTAAAATAACATACAAGGGTACTTCAAAAAGTTCATAGATTTGTGTTATCTTTTAATTCTATTTTTTCCCTGAACTTTTTGAAGTACTTGTATATGTATAGTCTTTAAAATATTCTGTTTATGTGGTACAAGTAGAATTACATATGGTGGTTATTTATGTATTAGATGAGACTCTACCCATGATTTATTGCCTAATGTAGTTCCATAGGGTTATGGTGCTATTCATTCATTTATTCATTTAATTAATTCTTGCCTGTTTTTATTCATTCACTTATTTGTTAAAAAATACTTATTGATTCATATTATGCATTCAGAACGATGATAGATCCTGGAAAAACAGGGAACAAGACAGACTTAGTCCATGGAACATAGACTCTAGTGGAATCTTTTGAATGAAGCCCCAAAACAGTATCTTTTTTCACTCTTGGTGAAAAACAAAAAACAAAAACAAACAAACCAAAAACTTCCATGCCCTTATGAAGAGAGCCACATTGTTGTTATCCTTGATGTCCTGACCTGACTCTAGGAATTGTATCTAGTTTACCATAATGATTCATTCATTCATTCAGCTGAATGGCATTCTTTGCTTCCTGTCTCCAGCAGATCTATGCCTACAAGACCACAGGAAGTAAAATTTCATGGTGAGAGAACTGATACCATGATACAATTTAAAAATATTTTGTGTACTTCTTATGTAATCAGGCATTTTAATAAAGGAAATAACTCTTATTTATTGCTGAACAAACCACTAAACTCTTTTTCCAAGTGAATGTTCTAATCTCCCCTTTCTGATAATAAAGATTTGCTGCTTATTTTATACATGTTCTTGCAATTACTTTGTTTGAGGCATTATTGTTACACTGTTGTAATTTGACTTGAATGAGTCCAATTATTTCATTATTTTACTAACTTGCTATTCACAGGGAAACAGTTAAAAGAAACAGGAGTAGGATATGGTGAAATAATTTGAAAAGACAAGATAAGGTATGTATTTTTACTTTATTTGTGTAGTTTGCAAGGTAAACAATAACCGATTTAATTTTTTGAGCTCCCTTCTTCCTCTAGCTCATGTCCTAATTCTTTGCTCCTCTTTTCCAATCTTCTGGACTATAACTGTCTATACTCCAATTTCTCTCCTGTTGTTTCTTAAATTGCCCCTTACCACTTCATTGAACTGCTCTTGTGAAAGACCCCTATAACTCCTTGTTGCTGAATACAAGTACAGTACTCAATACCCATCAGTGTCAGGTACTGGGAATGCTATTCTTCCATCTCATCAGGCCAAACAACATGGAGTCATCTTCTACTCGACATTCCATCCTTCAGCAAACACTGTGGCGTGGCTCTATTTTTCAGAAACACATCCAGAATCCCACCATTTCTTACATGGTCTAAGCCTTTACTATTTCTTGCTTCTTATCTGGTTTCTCTGCTTCCTCCCTTGCTCACCCCCGTCTGTTCTTCCCTGTTGTTCTCTGTCTGGAAAACTGATTCACCCAAATAACTTCATTGTCCACAACCACACTTCCTTCAGGTCTTTACTCAAATGTCACTTCAGTGAGGTCTTCTCTGGCTACCCTATTTAACACTGGAAATCTAGACACTCCTTATTCTCCTTTCCTGCTTTGTATTTCTTCATTGCACTTATTTTCATCCCGCAAACTATATGCCTTACTCTTTATTCTTTGACTGCCTCATTCTCCTTCCTCCAATAGGGTTTTTGAATATTTTATTTCCCTGTTATATCCCCAGTTCCTAGGACAGTGGGTATTAAATATCTAGCACATTAAAAGTGCTCAAATAATTTGTTGAAAAGGAATACATTTTATTGTAACTAGGGTAATTTTGCATTGGATCAGTAATAGTCTGAATAGATTTGTTTTCTATAGACCTGGTTTATTGAGGGAGAATATCACAATTTTATATACGATTGTAATTTAAAAATAAAAACTACACATTAAAACAATAAAGTGTTAAAGTTACAAGTATTCTTTATTGCTTTGTGTGATTTTAGTTTACTTGGAGTTGAATAGCACATTTTATTTTTATCTGTGTCTTTTTATTAATTTGAGAATTGTTTTGGAATGGTACAGTACATACTAAGCTCTTTATTTTAGAAATGCTTCCATAGCCACCAGAGTCAAATGTAGCTATGACATCTTGGGATATGATAACTACTCACTTGTTAATCCAGCTGTTCCTTACTCTTCCCATATTATTCTCAGTGTCTCCCTTGTTGAATATTGCATTCTTTTTTACTTTTAATTTTGAGGGCAAGCATCTCATTTTTGTGATTGACCTTTTTTAGGCTTAAAAAATCTCATTTGTATTTTTTGAGAAAGCTCTGGTATTTAATGTCTTTAAAGTGGAAAGGAAATATTATTAAGAGAAGCACTTTTTCACAATTTAAATAAATGGGGACCTTAATGCTAAAAAGTAGACTGTTAAATTAGCATTTAGGAGAACTCTGACTGAAATTGTGGCAAGCAGTACCATCAGACAGATGCCAAAGGACAAGGAGTTTTTCAAAACTCATTTTTGGTTACAATTCTTTTCTGGGACTAGCACTGCCTGTGGGTCCCAATAGTTCTTAAACAGGAATCAAAATTGTACATGAACGTGGAAATCATCAATGACTTTTCAGTGAGATGTAGGTGATATTTATGTGTCATTGAAGAAATATTTTAGTATATATGTAGCCCTATAGAATCTTGCCCTAAAGGATACTACAGTTTTCTAGAAAAATTGAAATAGACAATACAACATTAACATAGATTCCTACAAATCAAAATAATAAGAATAGATTGTAAGAATACTTACAAAGGGTTTGGAAATCCTTTATTGGAAAAACATGTTAGAGTTATAAACTGGGACTGAATAATAGTTACAACAAAAATTTAGTATAATAAGTGGATCAATGAAAAGTCTGTAAGACTTAAATGTTGATGTTTCTTCAGAGATTCATTCACTGAGTTCTTTTAATTCTATAACTTCTTAAAGAAACACTATACTCAGATGTTCTCCTGGTCCCAAACCCATATTTCCAACTCTTCTCTGACCATTTTCATTTGGACATCCTTTAGTCACCTCAAACTTAGTGGAATAATAATAACCACTATTTGTTGAGGAATTATCATTTGCTGGACAGTATTCTGTGTGCTTCATTAGTGTTAGTTGTTTTAATCCTCAAAATAATTATGAGTTGGTTCTTTTATTACCTCAGTGTTTTTCTTTTTCTTTTTAAACAAGAAGTTTATTTAAACAAGATGCTTGACTTGAAGGGAAAACTATCTAGGATTTCTTTTTTCTAGAGTTATTTATTCCTTCTTAAAGACAAATTGCCTACATGAAACACCTATGTACAAAATGTTATAAAATTGTCATTGGTTTTACAATGATAAATAAAAAACATTAAAATTCTCCAATTGAACAAGGTATGCAAGCATTTTTATGTTTTTTCTTATTTTGTTTTTATTAAAACAGTGGGAGCAAAATAACTTACTGGAATATAAAGATAAGAGTTGAAGGAGCATGCCACTAATGGAGAAAGGGGGTATTTTCACAGAATCAGTATTTTTCCCCATCTCATCTCCACTTAATGTCAATCAGAACATACCATTGGCCGTTTAGTAAAAAGAAAAATGCAATATGCTTGTGCACATACACCAGTTATTTTATATGTAGTAAAATGAAGGAAAAAGGGAAAAAGTGAAAGAATAGAGAAAGCTATACTGTAGTAGTCAGGATGTGGTGAACCAAATTGTGTTTTTCTTATTGGGAATGTATCCTTGGTCTATAAGAACAGAGTTCTGGAGTAAAATAGCAGGTTCCCTTTCTAGTAGATACCTCCTTTTTGCTCCTGGAACACATCAATTGTATCTTCAGCCTCCATTTCCAACTCTGCAGGTGTGTCTGTTTTATTGATTGCTGCCTGTGAAATCAGAATCCAATCTGCCTCGTTAATAAACCCTGTCGTTCATAATAGGCTTTCGTTACTTTACTAGGTGGTGTAGACCTCTTAATCTTAAACTGCCCCACAAAACCATCTGGCCCTGGCACCTTCAAATTAATATGATCATCGTTGTTAGTCTTGTCTCCTTCCTTGGGCTTTTCGTCAGCCACGGTGAATACTAGGGTCTCTTCAGATGGCCCTTTACAAAAGAGGTACCAGGTCTGTGCCATACGAGCACATAAGCAGCACCAGGGGTGCCGTATCTTAGTTTTGTACATGAGGAAACTGAGACTTTTGGAGTTTAGGAAACTTGTCCAAGGTCACACAGATATTAAATGACACTTCTAATTGCAAAGCCTATGTTCTTAATCACTGTGTTTACTTTCAGTAGAATTCTTCAGGTGTTCTCTCAAACTACTTTACTGTTTTCCGTATATCATTGAATGGCATTCTATCAATTAAGTCAGAATTCTAGACGTGTTCCTCTTCTTCATTTCCTGCATCTGAATAGTCAGTCAGTCATGTCTATTCTTCCTCCTATATCTCTCGGAACATTTCCTCTTATCCATCATTATTGCTGCAGCATCACAGTTCAGTCTCCTAAGTCTTACCAGCTTATTCCCTAGTCTATCTAGTTGGGGGAAGCCATCAGTCTTGCCCCAACACTTTCCATGTCATAATTTAAGTAGTTTTTCTTTTTTTGGTGGCTGGCCGGCATGGGGATGCGAACCCGTGACCTTGGTGTTACAAGGCTGAGCTCTAACCAACTGAGCTAACCGGCCAGCCCCAGTTTTTCTAACTGCCTATATTGTCATGTCACTTTTCTGCTAAGATCCTTAAAGAACTTTCTATCACTTATAGGATAAAGTCAATTTCTTGAGTTTGGTAAACAGGGCTTTTCATAATCTGGTCCTTGCTTTTACTCTCATCTTTCTTTCCTGAAACTTCTTTTTATAAATCTCATGTTTTAGCCATAGAGAACCTCGTACAATTCTTGAAAACATGCTATTCTTCCTGTCTTAAGTATTTTTCTATCCTTCCCTATAACTCATTCCATACCTTATTACAGTAGTTATTATATGGAATGTTAAACGAATGTTTGCCATTCTCCAGTTCTAAGTACACTGTAAACTCTCTGAAGGTTTGATCTATGTCTTATTTATCTTTAAATCCTTTATATCTTATCCTTATATAGTCTTATTTATCTAGCGTATAATGTACCTACTAACTCTTGAGCTCTGAATCACTGAGTGAATGGATGTATGAATGGATACACAAATAAACACCTCATCTGTAGGTTTATATTTGGTCTTGCCAATGAGGGGACACACTTTAAAGACTCAGTAGTTGAAGAAAGTAGGAGACAGCTGTCTGATTGAATTGGTTAACACAGAGACATACAGTTGGAAGAATTTCATTCTTGACGTTCTTTGGATATTTATGAAAGCATAACATATTTAGAAGCCCAAGAAATTTTGTTTGTTGATAATGTGCAGAATGTTTAGATACTGAGGCTTGGAGTGGTTGACTGATTTGCTCAAGCTTTTTCAACTAATAGTTGCAGAGCTTGAATTTGAGCCAGAGTCCTCAATTTTACCTATTTTAGTACTCCACAGGTGGAGAATATACTACTTAGTCCAACTTCCTTATTTAGCCAGTAATGAAAGTAAGGCCTACAGTGAATAATCCATCCATGGTCCTAGAGCTTCTTAGGGAAAGAGACTTCCAATCCTGTGCTTCCCCCATTGTGAGAAGCAGTATAGTGTAGTGACCAAGAAGCAGAGTGAAGCCAGCTTTCCTGGACTTATGTAAATCTGTGTAAAGCTGTGACATTTATTCCCTGTGTGATTTGGGAGAATTCAGTATTCATATCTGTGAAATGGGGGAGACTATCTACATCATAGTGCTAATGTGACAGTTAAATACATTAATATAGTAAGGTCCGTAGAAAGTACCTGCCACATAGTAAGCATTAGACAGATATTACTTGTTAAAAAGTGCAATAGTGCTTTCTCCTATATTGTGTTCCCACTGTGTCAATATTATAGGATCTGTCACGCTGTATTCTAGTGTCTTTATGCCCTTCTAGACTGAGATTTTTAAGGACAGAGATCATTCCCCAGTCAAGGGTTTAGCATAGTGTCTGGCACATAAGAGGCATTAGATAACATATATATTTTTAAAAATAATAACTTTTTTGTCTTTGGAAAATAAAAATTGGATAGATATTTCACTGTCTTTGACATTAAATCAGAATTCGTTCAAAATTTGTGAATCATTATGTCTAAAAAAGAGACAGTGGCAGGCATGGAGAAAGCATGGTATGTGCTGTTTGGACAACAAGAGAATTAAACCACCTGGCTCAGGACATACCACTATAGGATTTCTCACCCTGACACAGTAGTTATCACCCTAATTATTTTCTGTGTGCACATAGCATCACATGATTCTTCCTCAGTCTTTTCTAAATGCACTCGAAGAAGTGTAAATTTGAAGCAGCATTTGCATGCATCATTGGTCATAGAAATACTTAATTATTGGCTTGACCAGGTTCATTCTTTTAAATCTTTCTGCCCATGGTACCAATTCTGAGTTTGGATTTGGTGCTCTTATTCTTCTTTATGGTAATTAGAATTGGGGCAAACATTTCATCTGGCAACCTGAACAAATTAGAGATCAATTATAGCATAATGCAAAACATAAGTGTTTTGGAGGGAGCCTGGGTTGGAATTCTGACTCTGCTGCTTATAGCTTTGTGAAGTTCAGCAAGTTATTTGACTTTACTCAGCTTCACTTTTCTCATATATAGATGGAGGTAAAATGCATACTTCTCAGGGTTGATATGAGGGGTAAATTAAATTATTATGTAAAACACTTGGCACAGTACCTGACATGTTGTAAACACTAAATAAACGGTAAGTTTTTGTTTTTAAACAATGGATGGTGTCTGGCGTAATCCTGCTGACATTGCCAATTTGTCTGGCTATGACAAGAGCTACTGCGAGGCCTGGAATCCTCACAGCGCCAATTGTCTAGCTCTTAATCCTGTTCATGACCCCAATTGTAAAGCTAGGCAACCACGCTGGTTGTCGCGGCTCTTTTACCTGCCAGTAATCCTGCACTGACTGGGCTGATGGTTGAGGTAGGGCTAGGTCTGAAGGTCCCAGACCCCTCAAGCCCATTCACAGACTGGGTCACAAACCCTTCACATGCCAGGCTGGGTCACCAGACCCCTTCACATAGGTCTGTGAGCTAGGTAACCGGCCACACGGTCCTTGGAAGCTGCAGGTCTGGAAAAACATGGCTGCAAAGGGCGGGGGCCAGAGGCACTAAAACACCAGCCAAAGTGATGCTGTGCAGGCGCACTCATTCCACCCACACAATGTTTATGGAACCACCCCTATCTGGCCCTGAGGTGAGGGGAGCCTGACCAAATTGATATACATTTTCCCAATTGATGGCATGTTCATTTAAGATATATCCTCATATGAATATAGTGCTGTGTGTTGTCTTATATAATTTTAGATATTTAAGTCAAGTGTTTGTCTTTTAAGAAAGATAAGGGCTATAGTTATAATAATGGAAAATATATACATCAAATTTGGAATAGGTGATACACAGGCCACTTGTATCAGAATCTTTTGTTAAAAATATAGAATCCTTGTCCTCACACAAATTTGCTATATTAGAATCTTTGAATTTGGGCCCTAGGAATAAAAAATTTTCAGAAGCACTCAAGGTTATTATGATATAAATCGACCATAGATAAATTTGCAGAAATATTTATGTACAAGGTAAATGTTTTCTTGAAAATTGTTAACTGATTTAAATATTTTATTCTTATATGAAGTCATTTCTACTGAACTACTTACCTTCTAACACTGATGATTTAGTAAATAGAAAATTTCTTACTTTATTTGTGAGTCTCTGAAGTTATACATCAGTATTTTATAGGTGGGATTTCAAGATCATATGAATTGCATTAATTTTATTAAATATATTTTCAATCTTATTTGAAAAAAATTATAGTTTAACGTCCAATTTAAAATAACATTTGCAGGGCCGTACAAGGCAAGGATGCCCACTCTCACTTCTTATGTTTAACACAGGACCTGAAGTACCAGTGAGAGCAATCAGACAAGAAAAAAAAAAAAAGGAGAAGAAAAGGAAAAAAAAGCATCCCAATCAGAAAGGAAAACATGAGGGCCAGCCCCGTGGCGCACTGGAGAGTGCGCCGCTTGGGAGCGTGGCGGCGCTTCCGCCGAGGTTTCGGATCCCATGTGGAGACCGGTTCCCGCTCACTGGCTGAGCGCGGTGCGGGGACAACACCGAGGGTTGCGATCCCGTTACCAGTCAGTAAAAAAGACAAAAAAAGGAAAAAAAAAAAATAACATTTGCAACAAATTTAAGACAAGAATTTAGATTTTGTGGCTGTGTCATATTATTTAATCTTGGTTTGGAGACCATCAACTTTCAACACCAACACAGAAATAAAAGCAAAACAGATAAACAAGGAAAAATCTAGAAACAAACTCCATCCCACCCTTGCTCCTAAGCCCTGCATTGAGCAACAGTTAGTATTTATATCTACGCAATGTGAACATAGTAATGCTTTGCATGCTTTTGTATATTCTGCTCTGTCAGTAATGTTGTCCTTACTATATATATTATACATAAGTATGTGTGTGTGTGTGTGTGTTTGTGTGTATATAAAGCATACAAAAGGGTTTGCTATACCTTAGATATCATTTGCTCTAGGAAGTCTTCCTGAATGTCCCCTGCTTTCACCCCAGTCCAGATCACATGCCTCTTTTATTTCTTTCATATACCTGTCACACTGTCCTTGGACATATCTGATTGTCTCCTAGACTGTGAGCTCCTTGGGGACAGGGGCTCGGCCTTTCCAGTGCCTTGCACAATATTGGGCCCAGAGAAGGTATTCAGTAAGTGTCTATTAAATGAATAAGTCAATTTTTGTTTGTCTGTCCAGATTTATGAGATGATTGTGTTCCTGAGAAGTGGCATTGAATTCAAACACTTCAATCAAATTAATTTTGTCCCCAGAAATAAAAGAGGAAATTTCAGTTGTTCAGTTTTGTCCTATTTTATTAATACTGAAGTAAGATAATATTTTTCTATCTTAACCAAGATTCCCCCCCTACATTTATTTAAATGCTTTGCATTTTTTCATTTAATCATTGGTGTTTAATGTCCCGAATGGATGATGTAG